CTCTTATTGTGAAAGGTCAGAACACATGCTCTTATTGTGAAAGGTCAGAACACACGCTCTTATTGTGAAAGGTCAGAACACATGCTCTTATTGTGAAAGCCCTGCAGCACCAACAGGGAGCGACTGGACAACAACAACTAAAGTTAGTCTCAGCCTCATGTGACCCACATGTCTGCTGAAGTGAGGAGTCTCACGGCGGTGCGTTCACTGACTGAAGCAGCTGCAGTTTATTCAAGTCTTTATGAAGAGGAGTCTCAACAAACCTCTGACATCAAGACGAGACATTTCTGAAGAAACTGTTAATCATCCAGAGACCCTTCCCACACTGAGTGTGTGTGTGTGTGTGTGTGTGTGTGTGTGTGTGTCAGACAGTGGTGGAGAGGAGGCTGCTGAGGGAGGCAGGCAGGCGCAGGCAGGACTTCACCAGGCAGGAGTTTCTGAGGGAGGTGTGGAAATGGAAGAACGAGTGAGTCCCCCCTCTCACCATCACTCCCCCCCTGTGTCTCAACATGGTGTCTTCTCTGAGCTGTGTGTGTGTGTGTGTGTGTGTGTGTGTGTGTGTGTGTGTGTGTGTGTGTGTGTGTGTGTGTGTGTGTGTGTGTGTGTGTGTGTGTGTGTAGGAGGGGAGAGGAGATCTACCAGCAGCTGAGGAGTCTGGGAGCCTCTCTGGACTGGAGCAGAGCCTGCTTCACCATGGACCCAGTAAGAGGACACTCACTTATTATATCTCCTGAACGAGTGCTGTAGGTGTTACACTTTAATGTGATTGTTCCTGTCATATGTTAAGAGATAATGGATTAGATATACTCTATGTTGTCCATCCCAAATAAGGAAATGTTTGTTACAACAGCATGTCAACTAGGAATTGAACATGAGTTAAGAATATGATAAAAAAACAAAACATTAACAGTACATATAATCATACCTGCAATAAAATAATAAATATCTATATAGTGTCCATAGACTACACAATATTAATCATTCAACATAATTTACAAAACACTTTTACAGACCAACTCAAACTAAATGCTGTTATTTTTTATTATATAAAGTGATATATTACTATACGTACATTGTACTAACTGCAGCAAACTGTGAAGGTACACAAAACATCTGCATTGGAAACGGGTGATTCATTGTGTCATTGGTCATTTGTGCAACCTGAAGAAAAGCCCAGATCAGCAGGTAAAGGTGCATCAGGAGGCTGCTGAGACATTCAAAGACAGTAGTGTATTGTAGTGCTTTAACAGTTAGTATTCGGTGCATTCATATACATTGAAAAAAATGTGTACGGTTTATAATTATAATAAATATCTCCTTGCATGTTTCAGTGTATTGACATATTCTATTGGATGTATGGAGTGAAGATTTTAGAATAAATAATACATGTGAAGAGTGTGACTGTGAGCAGTCTGTCCTGAACCTCTCTGCCCCCTCAGGCGTTCAGCAGGGCGGTGAGCGAGGCCTTCGTCAGGCTGGCTGACTCGGGGAGGATCTACCGCTCCGAGGCTCTGGTCAATTGGAGCTGTGCTCTGGAGTCGGCCATCTCAGACATCGAGGTGATCCTCTTCACCTGGATGTACAGTTATTACAACAGGATAGGAGGAAATAATGGAGACACACATGGGAAGAACACTTTACATTTGTACTCGGGCTTCAATCAATCAATCAATCAATCAATCAATCAACAACTTTATTAATCCTGCAAGGTGCAATTGGTTATGAGCAGCTTATGTTACGTACACCGGCAGGAACATACAGGAAGAAAGCACACAGATACACCCGGGAGCCTGGATTTGGATCATTCCAATTTACACGATAAATAGTTCATAGCATCACAATAAATAGGTCAATAAATAACAAGTCATCTCGAACCGTCAGTTTAAAAAAGAAGGTGCGATACCGTTCCGATAAATATCAATAATTTCAAACATCGCGGGGAAATTCCTTCG